GAATTTTCATGAATATATGTCCGCTGGTCGATCCTCCAGCAACTTCAATGAATTCATATACAACAATTTATCCCCATAAACTTTGTGAAACATCTTCAGAACTTGAAGAAAGTCGTCTATGGAGGTGTCATGTGAAGTGTCAGCCTGAATCGTGCAAGGATCTACCGATTTTTTTATTTGAGTTCTAACAAAGGTAGTACTTATTTTTTCCTTTTCTCCACCCTATGTCGCTTTGACCATCATGTAGACTCCAACTCCTTTTGGTTTAGGCTGAGGCCTTCACCAGACCCAATTACATGCTTGGTCTACAAATCCTCTTATGTTCTTGCAAACTCATGCTCACTTGAGGTGAATGAATGAGTTCCCGTCGCAACAACCCACAACATACGGTTCAACTTGTCCACCAGCTCAAGGTTAATACCATTGAATTTGAATTTCTAATTGGTTAGCACTGCCTGCAACAAACGTGCAAGTTTATTACTTAAAGCAGCTTAGTAGAATAAACAATGGAAAAACAAGTAATCATTTGATAAATTATTACTTTTAATTTCTCAGTCCACCAGTCTTCAGAAACATCTGTTGTCTGTTTCACTAGATCACAAACCAAGCTCATGGATCCTCGTTTTAGTTCCTTCCATAATTTTTAATCATTCATCAATTGATCTTGCTTATTCTTAAATTTTAATATATCATAATCCCTTCTTGTCATTTTCTTGAACTTCTTCATAATATTTTGTCATCCTTTTTTGTTAAAATAAACGGTGGGTATATTTGCTAGCTCGATCTCCCTAAGATAGATGTCACAAAATATGATTGTGGCTTCTTTATCCAAAATGGTCGATGAACCGACTTCTTTGGTTTTAACAGTTGCTTTACTAACAAATAAAAGGCAAAACATTAATATTTTAGATAAACCAAAAAACAGACAATAACAATCACCCAACCCCCATCACAGCCACCAATCAACCCCCACCACAACAACTGCCCAACACCCACCATAGGCACCACCAAAACCCCACCACAACCACCACCCATCCCCCACCACAGCCAGCAACCAACCCCCACCAAAGCCACCATCCAACACTTAGCACAACCACCAATCAACTCTCACCACATTGACCACCCAGCCCCCACCACAGTCACCATCCAACACCCAACACAACCACCAATCTACCCCTGACACAGCTACCACCCAAACCCCACCATCAAAAATCCCACCAAAGCCACCATCCACCCCCACTGCATCCACCACCCAACCCCAACCATATATCCAAAAACTTCCCACATTCATAGATGAAATAAAAAAAATTATACGTAATCTTTAGATGATGCAATTACAATCAGGCTAGCAGAGACAAAGCCCTGAATAAATGAAGCACCCTAGCTCATATATTTTTTTTTTTTTAATTACCACTGAAACACCAAAGGAAGTGAAGAAACCTCAACCCATATTTTTCATTTGGAGCAATTACATATGGGGCACCTGAAACATTACAATGTAAAAGTGAAGCATGCTCTTCTATCCAAACTTCAGTTTCACACTTGAAACATAAACTAAAATGGGTATAATTTTGAGATGAGGCTTATAGTAAGTCCAAACTACTCAATGTTGAACCTTCAAATACAAATGAAGCACCAAATTCACTTGTCACTCAAAACTACTCAATGTTGAATCATCATTCAAACTAGAAGTAGCAAGCCTATCTATTTTTCAAACATGGTACAAATGAAGCACCCGATTTCATCCATTTTCAAGCAACATCTTGAACCTTTCATTCGATATCCTACAGTTCACCTTTCTTTCGTTGCAAGATCCAAATCCAAAATCAATAAGACCGCAAATGAGAAATCTAAAAGCACAAATAACCAATATGAAGAAAATCTCACAACAAATTGCAAAACGGAGAGCCAAAAATCACATAAGGAAAGTCAATTCATCGACAATTGCGTGAATTTACTTACAGAGCACAGTAACCAGAGCTTCGAGTGAGAAGGGAGAGGAGAAAGGCAACGCTAAGGATGATAGAGACGCGGCTGAGGGAGAGAAGCCCAACCTTCGCGAGATCGATCTCACCTAGGGCAAGCGAGAGTCGAGAGAGTGCCTAGGGAGCAGTGGGATAATAGTTCCTTAATGGAATGTGGGCCGCAGGGTCGATCCCGCTGCCGCGTTTAATCTGAAATTCTATCAGTGTATTAGAATAATCTCCGCGATGCACTAGCCAAATAGGACGCGCCGCGTTTGTGATACGTGCCGAGAGCATTAAGTTGCCCCAAATGCACCTTAAATATGGTGACTGTTAGAAAGTTGGGGTCTTATTTTTTTCAAAACTATAATTTTGTAATAGCCAGTGCAACTTTTTGATGTAACTGTCAAAAACCGACCCTTAGTGTGTTACTTTTCATAAATTTTAATTGATTTTTTACTTTTGTCTTTAAGGCTGAATTTTTGTTTTTTTTTAAGAAGCCAAATGTGTACCATTCAACCAAATAATTATTGGTGTGAAGAAGATATTCAGGCATTATATTTTTATAATCTGCAAATTATTTAAGTTTGGAAATAAAAAAATAATTAGACAGTTTATATTTTGTTTCATCAGAACCAGTCACCCGTCCATTACATGACCAAAGTCTTTTTCTGATTTTTTTTCTAATTCAATGATTGAATTTTTGTAGAAATAGTTTGATTTCTATGGTTTTTAATGATAAATTACAATAATATGCTTACTAATATATAAAAAACAGGGGTGAGAGGACAAATCCGACCTTTGTGACATGTTCTTTCCGGTGCACCCCTATCAAACAACTTATCATTACTAATTTATTTAATTATTACTTATAATTTCTTAAATGAACCGTATGATAACAAAAATTCATGAGATTTCAGCATACACTCAGATAAAAGATTTTGATAACAAAGCTTGACACCACAAGATTAGGGTTTAGAAAATGATAAGTAGTGACACCACAAGATTTTACATGGAAAACCCATAAAAGAAAAAAAATTCACTATAAGTTTATGATAACAAAAATCCCTTGTCCCTCGGACGGGAAAAAGTTACAAAGTCTTCTAAATTACAGTGTCGACGTGTGAATTAATTTGTCATTAAAAGTGTGTGGCAACCGATGATGATCGGTAGAGACCGGCAGGTGGTGGTTGACGGC